TTAACTGACTGAGCCACCCAGGCACCTCTCATGATATAGATTTAACAGCAGACTAGACAGAGCAGATGACAGGATTATTAAAGTTCATCAGATAATATCCAAACTAAAGCACAGTAAGAAAAAAAGCAAAGGAAAAAATATGTAAAATGAGTAATAGTTAAAAAATCTAATGTATATGTATCCAAAATCCCAGAGGGGAAAGTGAGAGACAATATTTGAAAATATTTGAAGGGATACGCAAACAATGAATCATGGAATGCTACATCAAAAACTAATGATGTAATGTATGGTGATGAACGTAATAAAATAAATAAATAAGAAAATATTTGAAGGGATAATGGTCAAGTTCCAAAACTGTTAAAAATATCAATTCACAAATTTAAGAAGCTCAGATTCCCCTTTCCCCAATTACACGCAGAAATATCATAACCACAGTCCTAAAAATCTAAGACAAAGGGAAAATCTTTAAAGCAGCCGGAAGACAAAAGCACACATTACCCTCAATGAAGGAACGTTAAGTTGGGAATAGATGATCTTTTCAATAAGGGGTGAGGAGTCAGTTGGATAATCACAGTGATAGAAAAGAAAGGTCTCCTCAGCAACCTGACTGAATCTCTTGGACTTTATGTTAAGCAGGGAAAAATCCAGACAGGAAAGAGTTCATAATATGTCATTTGATTTATATGAAGTTCGAGAATTGACAAAACCCATCAATGGTGTTAGAAGTCAGAGTAGTGTCTACCTCAGTGCAGCAGGGTAGAGACTGGGAAGGAGAAAGAGAGAAATCACTGGGAATGTTCTATATCCTCATCTGAGAGGTGGTTTCACATACACATAAATGTGTATGTATGTATGTGTGTGTATATATAACTGACCCATCCAATTGCACACTTAAAATTTGTGTATGCTACATCTCAATAAAAAAATAAGAAATTACTATATATTTGGCTTTTATCTTTTGCTGATACACTTCCCCCAGTATTTCTTTATGTAGAGAACGAGGGCCAAATTCATGTACCCAAAGGTAAAGGGCAGAGTGAATTGACATCCTAGACATTGAAAAGCGCAAATGTGCACATTGTGTGTGTATAAAATAAGAAGGATAACACAGGTATCCCTCGCTTTTTGAAAGTTCGTGTTGCACCACTCTGCTTTAACGAAGGACCTACATTAAACCTGTTTCCAGTAATCCAAAGAAACCCGAAGAGGATTTTCGCTTTTAGGGAAAAAAGACGAGAAGTGAAAACAGCGTTCAGTGTGTGTTTGGCGGCTGGCGGCTGGCGGCTGACAGCTGTGGCGACGGCACAAACCGGAGCTGCGAGAGCGCCCCCAAGCTCCTTCCCTGGGAACTACACTCAGCCTCTCAGCGTCAAGCCGTCACAGCCTCGAGCTGGTCTGCGAGCACTTGTGCTTTATCTCCATTTATTTTGTGCCTCCTTTAGTAAGATGTGTCCTAAGGTATTAGAAAAGCCGAAGAGGGGTTTTTTTTGGGGGGAGGAGGTCTGAAAACGCTCGGATATGTTTCTATATAAATTAACAGTAATCACTTCTTTGCTTTATGCCATTTGGCTTATGAAAAGTTGCACGAGAAAGTTCTACTTTTGGGTAGCAGGGGAAACCTGCATCTGTTCTGCCTCTGTCATAGGGTTATTTTGGGCATCAGATTTGTCAAATTTGTGTTTATTTTAATTTTGAAATGCTAAGATAACAAAAGAAGGTCAAGGCAAAGCAGGCTGCAGCTTCCTAAGGCGAAGCCACTGTATCAACTTCCCACATCTCCCTTCCTCTTCGGTTCTCCGCGCAAAGCAGCCGCAGTAGACTTCTCCACAGGCGGGTCAGGCTAGCATGCAACCATCTTGAGGCATAGTCTGATCTTGAAACAGTCGGGACATTAGTACTTGGCAAAAAGGGACACTTGCCCATGGGGAAACAAGTTGGAACTAGGTTGGTAGCTCCAAATTGACTTTCCTCCTCTGCCACATTGTAATTCATCCTTCTTATGGACTAGTGACAATCAAGAAAAAATAGCCCAAAGACATACAGTACCACGAAATTGAGATAAGGTTTCTATGTTTGATGAAATGTCTCAAAAGTACTTGTTTTACTTTAGGCATAGACCCAAAATTCTCAAAAGGTATATAAATTTGTCTGACATATGTGCACGATGTATCTCACAGGTGGGGTTTTATGGTGACCTGGAATATGTGTTTCAGTAAGAATATAAAGAAGTTTGGGGAAATGCGTGGAAGGGAGAAGTGAAATCTGATGTACATTTTTTTTCTGCTGCACTGTCAGGTCTCACATTTTTCCTTCCATTATGCAGACGCGCCACTAGAGGTCACTGCGCAGTTCTACTTCCACGCACCCTGTGTGTAACGCGGGGGCTCACTTCCAGATTCTACACTGAGAACCCTACAGGGTTTGCCTGTCCTTCATCAGGCCAGGTAGGGTCAACATGTCTGCCTGAAGGAAACTACAGAGCCATACTTGACCGAAAGTCAATTCCTGCTCCCCACCTTAGTAAGAGCTAACTAGCCCTTCCCGGTGACCAAGAGCAAAGCATCCATTTCTTTCCTGTGGCCTGATGTTCTTTCCTGTGGCAGCTGCCTGTGTGGTCTGGTGGCCAGCACTGACGACAATTTACTGACTGCCCCTCAGCCTCGGTAGGGTATTCTGCCAGATGCTGGAGGTAGAACAAGGGAGACAAGACTTACCAATACAACGAAATAATCATGCAGGAAAACAAATGAACTAGCTTAAGTGTTTCAGAAGTTCCAAGAGTGGTTAATGAAGTGATTCGCCAGGAAAGCAGGAGGTCACATTAAGAAGAGTGTTCTCAGAGGCCAATCAGTCCAGGCTGAAGACGGTATAGATTTTAGACTGGTTTTCCTTTTCTCCTTCTGCCTTAGCGAGAGACTTCCATGCAGCAGGTTAAGTAAACTGAAACTACGATATGACATGGGAGATGATGGGTAGATAGATAGCTAGACCCACCTCTGCTCCCCAACATCGCCTAAGAGAAATTGCTTTCCTCTGCAGTGCAGTATTCATTTGTCGTTCATTGATTTGACAAATATTTATTGTCAACTGTGCCCCAAGCCCTCAGTGATAAGATAGGCTACAGGCAGGGCACACACACTTAGAATTCGTAGTCCAGTGAGGACACAAAGATGCAATATGCAGTGCAATAGGATAAGCCCTATGATAAGAGAAGTACATGGTACAGTACAAGTACAGAACAGGAGCCCCTGATGAAGACTTAGGAAGTCAGGGAAGGCTTCCTGGAGGAAGTACTCTTAAATTGAGATCTTAAGCAGAATAGAAGTCGATCATGTAAGAAGAGAGTAAGTGTATTCCAGGCAGAGGTAACAAACACAGAAGAAAAAAAAAAAAAAAAACAGGATTTTATTTTTGTATATACAGTTTTGGATCTTGCCATTTTCCATTTTTATCTTGAGTCTCCATATCTACTGTTTTTGAAAACACGATTTGATTTGATTTTTTAAAAATGTGATTTTAATAGCTGCCTAGTAATCCAGTGTGAGGATAGTGACTATTTACTTATTTTCAAAGGGAAATTGCATTTTTAAGGTTCGTGCTAATTGTTCTCACCTTAAAAATATGAAATCATGTGAAATAATCTTATTGCTCATATTAATATCCAAAATAAATCTCCTTTATTCAACTGTCTGCTAAAAACAATTTCTGCAACCCAACCTGATACCCAGCCATAGCAAATACTAAATTTAAGTGAGCTATTGGTTTCCTAAATATTGATTACTTTTAACTATGTGTAAATTTTGCTATAATTGCTTTGCATGAATTGGCAGGACCTTCAGAGGGGCTCTAGGATTCTGAGGCTTTATCGTTCTTGCACTGTCCCTCAGAGTCTCCCTCTGTGTCCCTCAGTCTTAGTCCCCCTTCAAGCTTGCATCTCAGCGCCTACTGTGTCCCTCAGAGCCCCCTGTCTGGGATGTTAGCTGACATTTATCTCCATCTTTTCCCCAGTAAAAGATTTTTTTTCTCTCTGTGGCTCCATTTCCTGAAGGTGCAAACCATTAGTTTCATAAATAGTTTTTTAAACCACGTTTTGGGTAAAAATATACATATAATTTATTTGACAAATTCCTGACTTAGCAAGTCGATTTTCTGGGGCAAGCAGGAAAGATACTCACGGCTCTAACAGGAAGATTTAAGTAGAATACCCAAATCGCCTTCTTTTGAGCTGTTTCAGATCTAATTCTTATTGTTTCGTTTTCTGCCTCCCTTTAAAATGGACCTTCCTCAGATGGCCATACCCCTGACTTTAACCTGCTTTACAACAAGGTTTTGGGGTCATCTGCTTTTGTTTTTGCGTGTTTGCATGATTGTCCTGGTACGCACTTGTGCTTGCTTAGTGAGGCCTATTTTGGGGAGGAACGACACCCTGACTCCCGCCATGTGGGCTCTAGCTGTTGCATTGAAACTCTGGTTTGAACTGAAATATTCTTGTGTCTCATGTATTCTCAGATCACTGTGTGACTTGTCATGAGTGTGAGAGTTCTTTCAAACCTCAGAGCGGTCAATGGCAATGTAAGTTCTCCAATACATTCAGTTCACATGTAAGAAGTCACTTTCATCTGGGCCCACAAGGATCTCTACATGAAACCTGAGAAGGTCTCTAGCTCCCTAAGAGCGACCCCAGCCTGGCTCAGGACCCCCGCCTCAGGCCTTCAAGGCCCAGCTGGGCAGCTCCTGAAGACCACTGCCTTGCAATGCCCACTTAATTTATGCCAAGTAAATTTGACATGTAGCAGTCGGTTCCCTGCAGTGAAGATTTTACTTAACACTTTAATAATGCCAGTTAAGCAGCTATCCATGCATCTTTACTGACAGATGTTTGACAAATTTGCGTAATTTAAAATGCCTCCCAGGCCTATCAACTGGTGGCTCAAAAAGGTGTGTCTGAAAGATAAGAGCACCCGGGCGGGAGCCACGGTCCGCCACACCAGTCCGTCTTTGGTGGTTTCCCAGCACTGACTATTGAGAGCCAGCTCATGATCTCAGGATGTACGAAAAAATAGTAATTATATTACTACTCTCAGGTAAGTGGATTTTTTTAGCATGATGCTGTTATGTTGGATATTAAATTTTATAGATTAAAATATAAACTGCCTGCTCTAAGTTCTATCTTACTTAAACGAATAAATGAATGAATAGTATCTCAGATGGTGGGTGGATTTTTATTGGAACTGAGCTGGTAAGGCGGACGGAATTGGATTAAGGTGCTCAGGGGCTCAGTAGTTGTGGCTGGATCACAATTTTCCAGTATGAGAAGCATGCTTCAGTTCTAAGCCCAGCTACAGTGAAAAGAATTGTATCAAATATTATAAGAAATATCTCCATGTGAATAAATTTGTTGCCTTCTTTGTGTTTAACTTCTAAATTAAAGAGTCATTAATGAAGGTGGATATCCAGTCCTCAGTTTTCAAAAAAGTTTTCTGAAAAAATTCTAATTTCCTCCTTCTCCCACCAAAAGAGTACAAGCTACAGCATGAACTCTGAATTCATGGAGGAGTTGTTTCCCTCTCTGTGGTCTGTTACTGAGGTACGATGGAGGAAAAAGAAAAATTGGCTTAGGTATTATGTGGTTTGGGGAGAAATCAAAATGTCAAAATCAATTCATTAAGATAAAGAAATAACATGGAGTATTATTTATTTTTATTTATTTTATGATTTTTAAATATTTTATTTATTTATTTGAAAGAGAGACAGAGATAGTGGGAGAGAGAACGAGAGGGGAGGAGAGAGAGAAGCAGGATCCCCACTGAGCAGGGAGCCTGATACAGGGCTCGATCCCAGAACCCTGGGATCATGACCTGGGCGGAAGGCAGATGCATAACTGACTGATCCACAGAGGGACCCCTATTTTTTTTATTTTGAGAGAGAGAGAGAGCAGGGAGGGGCAGAGGGAGAGGGAGAGAGAATCCCAAGCATGCTCCATGCTCAGCGCTGAGCCCAATGCGAGGCTCGATTTCACGACCCTGAGATCATAATATGGACTATTATTAAGTTGTAAAAAATTAGCAATATTTTTGGCCTCTTCCTGAGGTGGTATGGTTAATGCCTTCTCAAATGCAGTGTTTATGTGTTAGAAATACTAGTGCCCAGCACAGAGATAAGAAGCAGGCAGTTACCTGAAATGTATTTAGCCCCCAGACATTACTCTGACTCAAATTGGAGCACAGATCAAGGATCGACTGGGCACTCTGTAGGAGACAGGGAAAGGATCCAGCATTTTATAACATATATTAGGGGATAAAATAGTGTAATGGCTAACAGAACTAGGCTCAAACCTGCTTCCGCATCAGAAAGGCTGGGGAATATTAAGGCAATGTATCCTCTCTTGGCCTCAGTGTCTTCATCTTTAAAATGTGTACAATGTTGGTACCTGCCTCCCAGGAATGAAATAAGGACTAAACAAAGTAATAGTAAATTAATAAATAATTTAGCTATGATAGTAATTGTTGACTAGGGAGCAAACCTGTGTATGTGATGATGATTTCTGAGAAGTCAGAATACGGGAAAATTACAGGAAAACAGAACACTAACAAAACTGCTCTAATTTTTTTTCAAGTAGCAAAGTACAAAGACAGTTTGAAGAAGAGAAAACAAGCGGAGGGGCTGTGGTATAATATTTAAATATATTCCAGTATTTGTAGGGCTATTACACAGAAGAGAGAAAAGGTGTGCTTTGTGTTGTTCAGAGGGGGAAGGGGGCCTCCTCAATCCAACTAGATGCGTTACCCAATTTTTTTTTTTTTTGCGGTGGGGGTGGTGTGGGATATTTGGAAAAGGCTCCTGGAAAGGAAATAAATTCTTCGTATCTACACCTGCTCAAGCAATGGCGTACTAAGGCCTTCTGTGAAAACTTCATGAGAGATCAAGGCCACGTGACTCCAAAGGCCGCCTGGCCCTCATTGCCAATGCTGCTACCATCTTGGCCTTTTGTGAAACCCTCTGAAGAAATTCTGTGGACGTGACTCCTTTACAGAATAATGGAAAGGTGTCTGAGCAGGGTCCTGCCCCCACCCCCCACCCCTCAGCAGTTGAAGTGGAGAATCTGGAGAGTGTGAGGCTGGTTAAACATCTTTGGCTAGGGAGAAAAAAAAAGAAGATGATTTTTCTTTCCCTAGAAATCTTAAGGGTAAAACCAATATTTCTAATTCTAAATTTATCAGATGTCATCCTCTAAATAGAGAGTAAGTTCTCTTGAGATTATTTGATTCCTGGTCCCAGAATTCATGTGCTCTTTCGGCACTTACATGCCAGGGGCTGGACACTGAGGCCACAGCAGTAAGATCGGTGAGCTCCTGGGGAGGATCCACTCGGGGTGGGTGGGGGCAGACAGTGGGAGGGAACACCAACATTAAACCGAATAAGTAAACTAGTAACGTAAGAACAGTGGTAAATAACACAAAGAAAATTAACCCGGGAAAGGTGATGAACATAACGCAGCAGGCTGATTTACAAAAGGGTAGCAGGAAATTTTTCTCTGAGTAAGTAACATTTATGCTGAGAAGTGAACCACGAAAAAAGCCAGCTTGAGAAATCTTGGGGCAAGGCATTGAAGGTAAAGGGAAGAGCAAGGGCAGAAGCTCTGACACAGGAGAAAACTTAATGTGTTCAAAGCTTTTCTTTGAAAATCTGATTCGGACGCTAAGAAGGAATTTGAGAATAGAGTATTGCAACACTCCGACCAGCAAATGATGTCATAAACCACGACCCTCTTAAAATTTCCTGATGTTACTTTAAAATTTATGCAAAATTTGTATTCTAGGCCACAATATACCGATTTAATTGGAAGATCCAAAGGCACAGGTATTATGGCTGTTTTATTCATTAGTGTATCTCCAGAATCGAGCACAGCTCTTCACATGTAGTAGGATATCGGTTGAATCAACAAGGAAGGGCGCCTGGGTGGCTCAGATGGTTAAGCGTCTGCCTTCGGCTCAGGTCATGATCCCAGGGTCCTGGGATCGAGTCCCACATCGGGCTCCCGGCTCAGCGGGGAGCCTGCTTCTCCCTCTGACCCTCTCCCCTCTCATGCTGTTTCCCTCTCACTCGCTCTCTAAAAAATAAATAAAATCTTTAAAAAAAAAAAAAAAAAAACAAGGAAGCAAGTAAAGGGAGGGAGGTGGGAGAAGAAAAGAAGGAATATTTGTTTTCGGTTGTTTAGACAAAATGAGAGCTCCGTGTAGATTAACCCTGATACCTTTAGCATCTTACTACATACATCTGTAGGTATATCAGTTTGAAAATCACATGCTTAGAATGACTAAGTGAAGAAACAAGGCATCTCCTTTTTCTTTGGTGATCCAAGACAGTCTTTCTGCCCATGTAGAAGTTATAAGAAAGCGTTCCTAGCTGGGTTTCGGGGACCACTTTAATTTCTTCAAAGTAAAACCTGTGTCTTTACTTACGCACCCCACACATTGCTAGACGCAAAGTAAGCACTCAATAAATAGTAGCTGCAGAAATGACAAATGACCAAAATTTTGCTGCAGACTAATTTAACTGTGGAGAATCTATCCATCCTCAGTTTCCTTGTGTCTATTGAATAAAACACGGAATAAATAGTCCCTAAAATCCCTTCCATCTCTAAACTTCAGTGACTTCTCAAAGCTCAGCCTGAGATAAACTGTAGTGTAGTTCCCAAACCTATGAATCTCACTAGCTTGGAGTGAAATTGGGTTTTTAGAAAGAAACGGACACCCGCGATGAATGCGTGGGGAAGGATCCCTAAGAGAGGGGAAAGAAGAGATGGTACCTGGAAACTGACACACACTCGGGGTTCCTGTGTGGCATAGTTGGTTAGGTGTCCAACTCTTGGTTTTGGCTTATTTATTTATAACCCTGACATATTAATTTTAAATTGGGAAGCCAGACTTAACCCTCTTTTGATGAATTTTTTTTTTACTTTGGTTTCTAGAGGATTATTGAATACATCTATGAACCAATTTAGGAGGCACATTTTAAGTGATTTCCCCAACTTGTCTTTATAGGTTATATTTCTACTCAAGATGTCTCTGAAACCACAGCTCATGAATTACCAAGTAAGTTACCGACAAAAGCAGATGGGTAATAGATTTCCAGCCATTATCATCATTTCTGCATATTTAATAAGTATCTATCTGTGTGGTCTTCTGTGATACATGACCTAGATGGAAACTAAAGCAACAGTCCTGAGAAGAAACATCCCAGGGTTATCTCCGGGTGTTGGGATTGTAGGTGACTTTTTTTCTTGTTTTTTGATGCTTTTTAAATTTTCTGCAAGGAGAATCAATAAAATGTAATTAGGAAAAGTTAAAAAAAAATTAAAAGCAAACTGAACAAATCTCTGTTTTCTGAGAGGCCTCTATCAGGAAGCAATGCTGATAAATATTAACAGGAAAACCAAGATCCTGGTAGATGCATTTCATTGTGGTTATTACTACTCAAATAAACTTGGTTACAGTGTCTGGTGAAACTGATTTCAGGAATCTGGTAGAGAAAAAAAAGCAAGAATTGTTGGTGAACAGATGAGATAAACCATCATTAATAATTTTCCCATTTTCCATTTTTATAGGGTTTGTTTCTGTTATGATACACAACTCATACACATCTGTTATGATGCATAACTCTGTTATGATACACAGCCCCAAGCTGCCAACTGCCACATTCTAGCAGCTAAGAGTATCAGAAAAGTGGCAGCATATAGAACCTTAGGATGCTTTATTCACTGAGACACTTCTATCACATCATGGGAGTCAGGGAGTGTTCTGGCCCATGCCTGTCTCAGGAAAGTAAGCGACTCTAAAAACATCATAAGCCCTAAATCATAAAACATTGTACGTTCCTCTCTCCGTTCCCGAGCATGATACCAGCCCACAAAGCAAAGATGTAAGAGGAGAGGTCTCAGGACCAAATTTAAGGGGGCACCAAAACCTTAAGTCATCAAGATAAATACTTTCATGAAATATTTTTTAAAACTCAAGATTAATTCAAAAAATCAATGGTGAATAAAATATCATAATTTAAAATACAGCCAGGATCCCTCCGAGTCAGATCTGGGGGTGAGGTGAGTGAGGGCAGGCAGAGCAGAGCCAGCTGAGACCCTGGCTTCTGGTGGGCAGTTCCTGGAGAAGAAACATCTTCATCCACTCAGCAACCAAGGCTCTGAGAGCTGCAGCCGGCATTCAGTCTTCTGGAAAGCTCTCTTTCTGTTCACCCCTACTTCTAGGGAGTAGCATTTTGGGGGCCCCAACTTAAAATTCGCAGCATTTGTTGTAGCTTCTTGTCCTCAGTGGGCCCTGAACCCCTAGTTCTGTGAGACCATTAAAATCTCTCACAAGTTTCACAGCCTCTCAGGCCTCACTTGAAAATAGACAAATGTCTTCAGAGGAGAGCTGCTGGCCAACGTCAAGCTCACGCATCTGCACCTCCCCTCCACCTCCAGAGCCTGCTGTCCTGGTCAGCTCTGATGCCCTCCCTAGATGCTTTCCATCTGCTCAGCTCTTCTACTTCCCATGGACAGGAGGCTTGGTCTGCAACAAGCTGGTTTCCTTGACCGGAAGCCAGAAGTTTTTGTCTATTCCTCCAGATGAGTTTCAGAATCATTTGGGGAAGTTATCCCTTATGCAACATAAAAGTATTCCCATGTTATTTGGTTAGTATAGAATGAATGATGGAATTAAAAGAGTAAATTAGCTCATAGCAAATAAAAAATTTTGTAATAGTAAATCTCTGAATTGGGAATATATCATGTTTTTCTACTGAGTCCTCTCTTACATCCTCCAAAGAGTTGAAAAAATTCTGAAAGAAACTTTAGATAAATTTATATGTTTCCTCTTTGAAGAGGTATTTTACATGTTCTGTTATTGTCTTAATTAAAACATGTTTCTGGGGCACTTGGGTGGCTTAGTCGGTTAAGCGTCTGCCTTCGCCTCAGGTCATGATCTCAGGATCCTGGGATCGAGTCCCACATCAGGCTCCCTGTCCCTCCCGATCCTCATGCTCTCTCACGCGTGCTCTCTCTCTCTCAAATAAATGAAAATGAAATCTTTAAAAAAAAAGTTTCATTGTATTTTCAAATTGTTTATTGATAGCCTAACATGAATTTATTACTTTGTATATGTTCATTTTGTAAGTGACATCACTAACCTTTTTTTGTTAAGATAGTTGATTCTCTTCAATTTTCAAAATTAGGCAACTGTATTCCCTATAAAAAGAAATTTTGTTTCTTCACTTGAAATAAATACATATAGCTGCTCCTTTCCTATCGTATTGCATTTATTAGAACTTCTCAATGTTATATATGTTAATGTTCTATAATGGTCATGATAGTAGTCATCCTTGTCTTGAGACTGTCTATAATATGAATGTCACACCATTAATTATGATGTCTGTTGCTTTCAGTAAATTATCCTTATCATGTTAAGAAATTTCCCGCTAACCTTAAGTGAAGAGATTTAATCAAGAAAAGATCTAAAATTCTATAAAATACCTTTTATGAATCATAGTTGAAACTTTGAAAGTTGACTTCCATAACTGAATGGTATAATAATAAATTTCCTGACAGTTATCATGAGAGAGAAAATATCTATTATCCTAAGTATAACAGGAATATTTTTTAAACGTTTGCTTTTCTTTAAGAATGTCTGTTCATCTTATTAGTTTCTGTTTTTTCACTGTATTTTTATTCTTCAATACGCTGAAGCGATGAATTATATCAATGGATATTATCATATTGCCCTATGCTTCCCATCCTAGTATCAGTTCCTTGGCTCTTGTATTCTTTTAATATTGTGCTGCATTTAATATTTGTTTTAGGATTATTTTACCTATATTTGTTATATATCAATTTTTTCTGCAATTCATTTGTGTGCACACATGCATTTGCTATCAAAAAGGTAAATGAATTTTTGCCTTTTTATTCAAAAATAATTTATTAATCACTATGTGCCAGTTTTAAAGATATTTTGAAGAAGAATCATCTCTTCCAATTATAGTAGAAGGATTTTTTTACAAGAATAGGCAAAAAATATATTTTCTTCATGTGTACACGAATATGGTAAATTATATTATCCCATTTCTTTTCTCTAAATTTTTATTTTGAAAAATTCCAAGCACATGGAAAAACTCAAAGAAGACTAGCAGAAATATTCATATATTATCTTTCTTGATTCAATAATTGTGAATAATTGATCATATTTTCTTTATCTGTCTATAAGTGTATAAATATACATATACTTTTGTCGTGTCATTTGAACATAAGTTACAGACATTATGACACTTCACCTATAATCATTTTCACATTCATCTCCTAAGAAAAAGGACATTCTCCTAAATAATCACATTATTTCAAATTTAACAATATTAATAGTAATACCATAATATAATCTTTATATTCACATTTTTCCAATTGTCCCTTGAATGTCTTTCATAGCTGTTTTTATTTAAAATCAAATTTTAACCTACATTCGTTCATTGAATTTGGTTGCTGCATCTATTTTAGTTTAGAATAATTACCCAACTTTTTTTTTAATGGCATTGATTTTTTTGAAGGCTCCAAAAGAATTGTTTTGTTTCATTTGCCTAATTATTTCCTCATTGAATGTATCTCTTGAGGGAAATTTTTGACAGTGTTCCTTTTTTACAGCTATTTATTTCTCAGGCTTCTTTTCATTAGATGCTCAATCATATATATTTTTCCAAGACGCTTTTTATTTTATTTTATTTTACTTTATTTTATCTTTTCATTTTCTATTTAAATTCAATTAACATATAATGTATTATTAGTTTCAGAGGTAGAGGTCAGTGATTCATCAGTCTTATATAACACCCAATGCTCATTACATCACATGCCCTCCTTAATGTCCATCACTCAGTTACTCCATCCTTCCATCACTCCCCCTTCCAGCAACCCTCAGTTTGTTTCCTATGCTTAAGAATCTCTTATGGTTTGGGCGCCTGGGTGGCTCAGTTGGTTAAGCGACTGCCTTCGGCTCAGGTCATGATCCTGGAGTCCCGGGATTGAGTCCCGCATCGGGCTCCCTGCTCGGCAGGGAGTCTGCTTCTCCCTCTGACCCTCCCCCCTCTCATGTGCTCTCTCTCTCCTCTCATCCTCTCTCTCAAATAAATAAATAAAAAATCTTTAAAAAAAAAAAAAAGAATCTCTTATGGTTTGTCTCCCACTCTGATTTCATCTTGTTTTATTTTTTTTCTCTATTCCCCTATGATCTTCTGTTTTGTTTCTTAAATTCCACATATCAGCGAGATCATGTGATAATTGTCTTTCTCTGATTGGCTTATTTCGCTTAGCATAACACCCTCTAGTTCCACACAAACGTCATTGCAAATGACAAGATCTCATTTTTTGATGGCTGAGTAATATTCCACTGTGTGTATATATATATATATATATATACACCACATCTTCTTTGTTAATTCGTCTGTGGATGGACATCTGGGCTCTTTCCATAGTTTGGCTATTGTGGACATTGCTGCTATAAACATTGGGGTGAGTGTGCCCCTTCGGATCACTACATTTGTATCTTTGGGGTAAATACCCAGTAGTGCAATTGCTGGGTCATAGGGTAGCTCTATTTTCAACTTTTTGAGGAAACTCCATGCTGTTTTCCATACTGTTTTCCAGAGTGGCTTGCATTCCCACCAACAGTGTAAGAGGGTTCCCCTTTCTCCAAATCCTCGCCAACATCTGTCATTTCCTGAGTGGTTAATTTTAATCATTCTGACTGGTGTGAGGAAGTATCTCATTGTGGTTTGTTTTTTTTTTCCATTTTTTAAATTTTATTATATTATGTGAATCACCATACATTACATCATTAGTTTTTGATGTAGTGTTCCATGATTCATTGTTTACATATAACACCCAGTGCTCCATTCAATATGTGCCCTCTTTAATACCCATCACCAGGCTAACCCATCCCTCCACCTCCCTCCCCTCTAGAACCCTCAGTTTGTTTCTCAGAGTCCATAGTCTCTCATGGTTCGTCTCCCCCTCTGATTTCCCCCCCTTCATTTTTCCCTTCCTACTATCTTCTTCTTTTTTTTA